TGAAATTATCCAGGCCAGACCTGCCATGGTGAACAGATTTCCTGACACCCTGCTACAGGGCCAGAGCTGTGACATGCATCATGGAGCACCCAGTGCTCCAGCTTTGTCACAGAGCCTGCCCTCTCCACGTCCAGCCACCAGCCCTGTTAGCAGCACTGCTGCAGCACTGAGCCCACACAGCTCCCTGCAGCTCCCCAGGACCAACCCAACGCTCTCCTGCGCTCCTCCCACACGGTGCGAGAGGAGATATTTGTGGGGAAGGTGGCAGGGGAGAGATAAAACTAAATTAGATAGTTTTAAGAACTTTCTGGGGACAGAGGAGGAAGGAGAGCTTTAATCTTGGCTGCTAGTCTTGGTTCACTCTCATATCATAGCCAATCCCCTGCACAGTTCCCTCCTTAAACAGGACTGGAAGCTCTCCCAGCCCCACAGCTGGGAATCAGTTTGTCTGGGGATTTTCTCATTATTTGTTTGGGAGTTTTTTTTATGTTGATTTTTTTTTTTTGTTGTTGTTGTTGTTGAGTTGGTCTGGGTTTTGTTTTGTTTTTTTCTTTTTAGCTTTTTTTTCCCCTGTCCAGGATACATACCTCCTTTTTCCTATAATATAAAAAAACTCTCAACTGCCTTGACTATCAACAGCTGGGCTGGTGGTGGGAGTGTGGAGCTGGCTTCCCAAGGATCATTTAAAGGATTTTGCCCCACACATATGTAAAGCTGTGTAACAGCTCTATGCATATTTGAAGTTTACTTCTGTCAATAAAATACTTACCCAGCCTCTAAGGCTATTCTTTGATGGCCCTTTCTCATATGTCTTTGTATTTAATAGGTTGCTTTTCTGTTTTAGAGTGGCAGGGTATGCCTGTGTGAAGGTGTGTGTCAGAAGGAACATAAGGCTCTTTTACAGCCTAACTAAAATGTCTTGTTTTCACTTGTGTATAACTTGTAAGGAATAAGAAGAGCAAAACACTTCTTCAGCTGACCATACCCAGTGGGATACACATCACTGAAAGTGCCATAAGGTACATTTGAGGGGGCAGACCCACTTGAGGGTCTTCCTGGGGCATCCAGTGGCAAGAGTTCATTGCACTTCCTATCCAAAATCAGGGTTACTCAGAATGTACCACAGAGCTTGCTGCTGATCCTTCACTCCAATGTGATTGAGAAAAATGTTCTTGAAGTACACTAAACTGATTTAAAAACTCTGTCCAGGCCCATGCAGCTGGCCAGGACGTGTTCTGTGCACAACCCAGGGTTAAATAGTATTTTCTGTATGACTGTGAAGTTGTATTTTTTGCAGAATATTGTGATTTTATTTATGAAGTGAATGAAATTATGACATAAAATGCTCAGTTTATATATTTTTCTCCCTTTTAACTACAAAGCAATACTTGAAAGACCATGTAAGTGTCCTGTGGATGTTTTTCCCTCAAAATTAAAGTTCTCTACTTAAAACAGGTTAGGATAAATGGCTTTGGTGACACAAATGCAGCATATTAAAACCGGCAATTAGCCCATGTGGCAAAGAAGAATGGAACTTATTTCTGTTTCCCAAACTCAGAATGATTGTGTGTATTTTATTTTGTTTTTGTTTTTAATTAAAACTCCAGTACAGCATCTTTTGTGTTTGTGGTAATTATGATGAACTTCGTATCCCAAAGGAGAAATGTGTAAATGGCTCACTCTTTTGTGGCTATTTGTTTGTGCCATTAGCTCAGGAAATGTATTTTCCAAGCATTGCATTAGTTTAGCCAACTGGTGACAATAGCAGTCATTTGTGTTAACTTAAGCAGAGCAGAGTTAAACAGAATAGACGACATTTTAAAGTAATATAATATGACCATCTGAGGAAGCAGTAATTGTACAGAATTATTTAAGTTTATTCTTTATTATTCATATGCTAGTTGTCAATATGGGTGGAGAATGACTCATAAATCATTTACAGCTGTCTCTGGAAATGTTTATGTTTTGGGAATTTTTCAAGCTGTCCCGCTGTCCTTGAAACCAACATGGATACTACTCTCAACTTGTATTGTGACAGGGAATTTAGGCCATATCAACTATACATAATGCCGTCTGTCTTGGATTTGAAGGATCCACTGAAGATACAGCCTGGACAGGTGGCTGAGGCTCTGCCCTGAGCCAGCAATACTGCAGCACACAGGCAGTGATGCTGAGGGCCACTTACCAGCTGTCAGAGGGGAAATAACTGAGTGATCCTTCACCAGCACAAATATAACTGGTAGGGCAGCATGGCACAGGCATCCATGAGCTACCAAAAGAAAGAGGGGTGTGGATTCCAAGACAAAAGTGTTGAAGTCAGTGCAAGTCCATGAACATCAGCGAGTTCCCATGTTACAGTACAGACAATTTGCACTCTTAGGGTCCATGGAGAATACAGGACAGATCTGGATTCCAGTGGTATAATGGAATTCAGGAGAGTGATACCTGCCCACTGGTGGTGAGCCACATCCAGAGCTGTACATGGCTGCTGGAGGACCCCACGGTGCTCCTTGATCCCCATAAACTTACTGACACAGAGAGGACCTTACACTGTTTACAAACACTGTTTTAAACATTTCCACAGGGCTCTGGAATTGCAGATACCTGCCAAGCTCACTTCCTGGCCATCCTCTAGCTCCACACCCTGAAACTCCCTGCTCTCACCCCAAGTCCTTTCCATATCCCAATTTCTCCTTTTCGGATCCCAGGGCTGCCCCTTCTGCCACCTCTACTGCCAGCCTTCAGTCTTGGCTGATCCTGCTGAAAAGCCAGCCTGAGTTTGGGCTGGCAGCAGCCACATCCCTGCAGACAGCCTGCCACCACCCTGAGTTCCCAGCCCCACACCTGTCACGGTCTGTGCCTTATGCCAGGTAGCTGCCCACTTCTGCAGAAATGCTCTGGAAATACCTTTCCAAAGAGCTTCTCCACTTAATAATGAGAGTTGGTGTGGAATAGTGCTGACAGATTATATAGACTAAGACTGGCATGCCCTCTCCCTTAAAAACACCACCACTAAACCCCTTCTGTTCTACAGTGTTTAAAATGTTCCTGTTCCACACTAAAACCAGGAGGTATTCCTGTAGCAAACTATTATATGTAATAAATCCTAATGAACATACATTTGCAGTTATCTTGTATGTTTAAATTTCACTACAGTTTGCACTTCAAAACTTGAATCTCAGAAATGGTGCATGCTTTCTCCAACATGTACCATATCAAACTGAGGACCCTCCCATGAAGCCCAGCTCCACCAGGTCACATCACCTGTACAATCATGTCCACAGCCCCTCAAGTCTCCTCTCCAGCAGGAGGCTGGACTAAAGTCTGGTTGAGGTCCCATCCAGCCTGAATTATCCTACTATGATTCTACTGTTTCTTCCCAGATACAAGAATTTGCATTTGTCTTTGTTGAATGTGTGCTTTTGGCACAGAACCCTCATCAAACTGAGGACCCTCCCATCCCAGCCAGCTCCACCAGGTCACATCACCTGTACAATCATGTCCACAGCCCCTCAAGTCTCCTCTCCAGCAGGAGGCTGGACTAAAGTCTGGCTGAGGTCCTATCCAACCTGAATTATCCTCCTATGATTCTACTGTTCCTTCCCAGATACAAGACTTTGCATTTGTCTTTGTTGGATTTGTGCTTTTGGCACAGAACCCTCGAGCATGTTGTCTGATTCCTGCCCCCCAGTTGGGTGTTGAATGCAAACTTGCTGAGAGCAAATTCCACCAAGTCATCAGTAAAGATGTTTAAGTCGACAGGTCCTAGGACAGACCCCTGAACTCTATTCCTGCAGCATCCAGATCATATGGATCATATCCCATTAACCACCAGTCCATCCTCACTGCACAATCAGTTTTTTACCCATCTAGCTGTCTACCCATTTAGACACATCCTAACTCTGATACTTGGTGGACTTCATGTTTGCAAAACAAAGCACAAGCTCTGTCAGCTCTTGCTTTTTGAGCTTTTTAAGAGCTGCCATGAGGGTCTATTGATCCATTTTTCACATCAGCTCTACAGTCTTTAAGAGCTTCATTGCACATGCTTTCCTTGTCTTGGGTCTGTCTCAAATGAGTCTGAATCACTGATTATCCAAACTTTAACTGGAGTTTAAAGTCAGAGTAATCTTATGTGTCAACTAGGTTTAGAAAACCATTACATTGTAAACACTCTAGGCAATAGCTGTTTCAATGATTATTTTATGTGAGTTGTAGTTGACAGCTGAGAGCTTTCTCCTGTCTGACTGTTACCGTTGACCTGCTTGTATTTTCTGCAATGACTCAAGGACAGGTGAACAAGAGGCTATTCTGTCCCTCACAAAATACTGGTCTTTGTAACACTGTGCTAAGGAAATCAGACATTTGAAAACTAGAGACAAGTAATGCTTGGCTGGTTTTCTGCTGCTCTGACAATGCAAGCATGGTTTTGCTGGCCAGTGAACTCTGCCTGCTATGGACTGTTCTGAATATTTCCTTAAAAGTTGAAAAAATTTGAATGATTTTGCCACCAGACTCCATAACAGAAAACATTAAAATAGCAAGTGATGTTGTTCAGTGTTTATTTATAGACTCAATGCTAATTGTTAAAGCCCCAAAACATTTCTAGACAAGAATGAAGATAAAACTGCTCATCAGCAAGATAGGGGTAACAAACACATACTCCACATTACCTACTCTGAATACAGATAATTCAAAGTCAAGCTAACAGAATTATGCTGATTACTAGTGATGCATCACTGAGACATCCACAAAAGCTTAATGCTTCCCAGCAATGATAATGTGAAAGCAAGATCTTTTAAAATCAAGTCTTTAAAAAAATCACAGAATCAAAGAGTACTTGAAGCTGACAGACATCTCTGGAAACCACCTAGTCCAGCCTCATATTCAGAGCACATTTGGCTACAGCAGGTTTTTGGGACCATGTCCAGTCAGGATTTGAGTATCTCCAAGTATTGTCAGTCCACCACCTCTTTGAGTAATCTGCTCCACTGTTTGACCAACCGAACAGTAAACATATTATTTTCCTTATGTGGGAGTGGAATCTCCCATTTCTAGGTACCCCCATTGCCTCTTGTCCCCACAATGGGCACCACAGAGAAGAGTTGAGCTTCAAGAAGAGGCTGGACTGGGAAGTAGGTTGGACTCAATGATCTCAGAGGTCTTTTTCAACCAAAGTGATTCTTTGGTCCTGTGATTGTAAGTCTGAATCCTCTTCTTTACACCCACTTCCCATCAGATATCTACAAACACTGATAAGGTCTTTCTGAGCCATTTCTCTTCAGCCTCTCCTTGCATCACAGAGGGTCCTGCTCTTTCATCAACTTCATGAACCTTCACTGGGCTTGTTCCATTATGTCCTTGTCTCTCTTGTACTGGGAAGCTCAGCAGGGGTTTCCAGATGGGCCTCACCAGTGCTGATCAGAGAGGAAGGATCCCCTGGCTCTACCTGCTGTCAATACTTGGCCTAATACAGCCTGGGGTACACTGCCTTCCTTGCTGCCGTGCTGGTTCATATCAACCTCCTGCCCACACTAGTGAGGTTTTCTCTGCAAAACTGCTTCCCAGGCAGCAGGCCCCCAGCACCTGGGATGGTGCATGAAAATCCTTTCAGTCAGTCAAGAATAAAATAAGGGTAACATTCACCAGATGACCAAAGTCATGTCAGAGGCTTCCTTTTAGGGGTGCATTGAGTGTCTCACACGTGCTGACAACACATCGTACGAAACCATGACCAAAGAGGTGTGATGCTGCCTCTTACTGCCGTGGCTGTAGCGGTCAGGGCACCACAACATGCTCCTTTTCCTTCACTCTTCAGCCCCTGCCCAAGTCGCCCTGTGCTGAAGGCATGTTATGGGGAAGAAAAAGAAAAATTACTTTTAATCACCTTAAATAGTGCAAGGACTTGACACAAAGCCTCCTTCCACTGAGGCACTGGAAAAAAAGATACACAGAGTGGCTTCTTTCTAGTTTACCTTTTAGGGAAAGAAATGTAAACCAGTCATTCCCATCCAAAGAATATGACTGCAGAATCCAGTCCCACAAAAGCACCTCTTTTGCCCTCTAGTTGCAGGTAAGCACTTCTGCCCAGGAAAAAAAGAGAGAAAGAGGGAAAAAAAGTCAGATGCTTCTTCAGAATCATAATTCCTTTTTTCTCCCTCTCTGTGCTTTTCCTCCCTCTCTTGTACTGTTGTCATCTCCCTCTCAAGACAAATAGGATGGCTATGGGATTTCATCTTCGCAGAGCAGAGCCAAAGATGCTTGGATGTTCTAAGGGTATTAGAAGTTACTTCATCTCAAGTTACAATCTGAATACCATTTTCCAGGTTTGTAACAAATGGTTTTAATAAAGTTATAACTTTCTGATGCCTGTGCTTCCTTTACTTTTTCTTCAATGCTATCTTAACATATCTGGAAGCATCAACAAGGAAACTAATTCCAGTTTTTCTGTTGTTTTGCATCTCACTCCACAAGTTCTTCCGTAGATACATGTTCTGTACTGCTGCCAAGAAAACTCCCCAAATTCTGACTATTCCTGTCATAAAGAATTTGTGTTCTTGAAGCTGTACATTCAGGAATGTCTAAAATTACTGAAGCAAGGACAAAAGGTTGGAGGCCTTTTTACCTGGAATATGTATGAGCCACTGGGCATTGCAAAACCTGAGGATTAGGGTAAGGCTGCAATAGTGTTGTGCCCCTTCAGAAAGTAGAAGTTTCCTGCACAGAAGAAGCTGCAATGACTCAGCTGCAGGATGCACAGTGACTGCAGGTTTTAGGAGCAGCTGATTAGGAGTGATCCAAAAATATCTTCTGAATCACCAAAGTATCTCAAATTGCATTCTCTGTGATGCCATGACAAAGCTTTCTGTATCTTTTTCAGGTCTTTTCTGAGAGTGGGTGAAATTCATGGTATGCCTTTGACATGCTGCCTGAGCATGTAAAGACTGTCTTCCCCCCTCTTCAACTACAAGCAGAGAAGACACTACAGTCAGTCAGAGCAAATATCACCAATATCAATCGATCATGTTGATGGGTTTCTAAATTCCGTATGGATTTCACTTTCAGAGCACTTGAATATGTTACAATCAATGAATCATGTAAGGACAAGATATAGAAAAGGATATAAGAAAAAATACATAATATATTGAAGTAATATTATTAAATAATTGGTTAATATATGTCATAAGCAATATATAATATTAATAATAAATTATAAAACAATTTATTGGTGATGTATGAGAAATAAATTAATAATAATAATAATAATAATACAGAAAAAGATGTAGTATGAAATTATAGAAATGTCAGGTCAGATACTATGACTGAATTTTAAACAGAGATTACTAAAGTCCTTATACTCATGCCTTTTTTGTGTGAGGCACAACATGGTGACATAAATGAGCCACATACCAGTGAGGTTGTTCAGTAGGAGCAATAAGTGACTCTTTAATCACACCAGCCACTTCACATGGGGAGAAGCAAAGCTCACTTCCCAGTTGAACTTGAAGAGATCCCTCTGCCAGGAAGATAAAATTGCCTGGGACAGCAGAGTTCCATACCATTTCTTACATATCCCAGTGGCCAGAATGGCTCACCTTCAAACCCATAACCAAATCCACTCTTTTAGGAGAATGTTGTGCATAAATTCATGCACAGCATCAGTGCAGCAGTTCTCAGTGGAAAAAGCCCACATCCTACATTGACAGTACTGCTTTTCATCTCTGCTGCTCAGAGCTTTCCTGCCAGCCTCCTACCCACCCTGAGATATCCGACTTGAACAGCTCAGCTCCAGAAAGATGGATGAAACCAGAGCACACAACCATACAGCTGAAGACCATCTTCTCTCTGCACTTAACCCTAGGCAGTAGGACCTACAGATGTGTCAGCATGTGTTATTACAAAGCACTGAACAAGAAATTGTGTGTGTAGCAAGGATGAAGATGTGAATGGGAACAATTAAATAAGTGCAGAGGCAGAAAGTGCTGCAGGATTTGTGGAAGGAGTGCCTAAAGCCTGGATCTTAACAGTTGTGCAGGAGTGCCATGGTCTGGTTCTTCTCTCTGGCCAGTGAATATTTGATTCTTATACACCAAAATGAGGACATGTATGGGTAGTGTATTCTGAAAATCCTTCTTAGTTTGTGACTCCTGCCAATGTATACAGAGAATCCAGGTAAGACTTGGTAGCAAGCAGTTTTAGCTAAATCATCAGATGACAATGCAGCTTTATTGCTTAAAACCTGCCTGCCCTTTATGAGTGAGGGCAGCTGTGTGTGCTGCTGTGGGCACTTGCAGAATGGGGTTCCAATGTTAACAGGGGCAGTCAGCAGAGACTAAGGGTACATCTGCGCCAAGACTCTGCTCTGTTCCTCAGGAGGGCCGTGCAAGCTGCTCCAGCATGTTGCCTGAAGCCAGGTCCCAGGAGCAGCACTGAAATCCCTGAACAGACCCACCCTTAGAGGGCAGCTCTGCAGCCAGAGTCCAAGCTGCTTCCAGGGAAGGTGGCTCCTCCCTGCCAACTCCCTTACTCTGTGCCCGTGTATTCTCAACACCACCATCTGCCAGCCCCAGATTCACACAACTACATGGTTACTGGATCAAAGAACTAATGAGATCTACTCCTGGGCATAATGTAGATTTTATTGGCAGTGTGACAGAGCTCAGCCTAACTCGATCTGAAATCCCAATCAGATTTATATGCTTTGCCTTGCGGAACAAGGGGTTGAACAAACCCAGTGTCAAACTCCATACAAAGTGGGCAAAGATGACCTGTTAGCATTCCAAAGGATCACATGAGGACTGTGTAAATAATAACCGAACTCATCTTGTCCCACTACCAAAATAATTACCAAGGAAATTTGCAGATTTTTCATGTGAGTTCTCTCTGTCAGTCCCTGTCTCAGATTTTTGCTCAGGTGTTTTTAAGGCCTCTTCTGGGTTTATTTTCCTCCCTTTAACTTGTAAGAAAAAACTTAGCTTTAAGTTTAAAGGGAATGGAATAAGGGCTGTATGGCATATTTCCTCAGGTAAACATAAAATTACAAGGGTATAGGTTAAAAATTGCAGTAAGCCCTTCTAGTGGCATCAGAACATGATTTTGAGTAGCACTTATCTGCTAATGATCCCTTAATGGTTATGTTTGACAAATAAGACAATGAGAGGAACTTAAAAAATGCCTCTGCTGCTAGTTATGACTTCTGGTGGTGAGAGATACAGATCTGTCTCGGATGAGTCAAAGGTGGGGTATGGGAAACATTCCAGTGACAAGAACTTGGTTTCAGATGTTTCTCATAGCCTATGGAGAAACACCAGTTATGGAAGTGTTGTATTTCTTTCGACCCTGTAGGAAGACAAGCTTTCACACATTGTGGTGGGGTTTGTGAATCTTTGTCCCTTTGCTTTAAAACACAATAGCTGGCTCAGGCAACCTTCACATTTTTGGTCTGGCTGCAGAACATGTTCAGCTGCACAACATAGCTGTGGTTTTCCTTCCTGTTAAAACCAGGATATCATGTATTCAGCTACGACATTCCTTTATTTTTGTTATGTAAAAGCGTAATACCTGGTATACAAGAGGCTGTCCCCAGCCTACAGCATGAAACTCCATGCTATTCAGAAACCTTGCCACCACCATGCAGAAGTGTTGATAGCCCTGCCAGTTACCTCCTGTGTGCCACTGTCTGTCCTGTCATCACCACGGTGCTCTCACAGCCCTGGGTGAGGCTGATAAAAGTAATTCCTTTAAGCCAGGCACATTTACATAAAACAAATGTGTGCAAGATAAATCATGGCTTTAGGCTGCTCAGAGCTATATTTTGGAGGAACATTTTCCTAGTCTTTCTCTAGTTTGTTTTATAGCATTTCTGTTTTCATGGCTGACAGCAAAGCATGAAATAATGGTTTATGAACATGGGAGGAAAGAATGGGAGCAAACACATATAAATATAAATATATAAAAATAAATTAAATAAAAGTAACAAAATATAAGAAAGAATCACCTGGATACAATCCTGTGTAATGCATTCTAGGTCAATCCTGACTGAGCAGGGAGGTTGGACCAGATGACTCCCTGTGGTATCTTCCAACCTTACTCAATCTGTGATTCTGTAAATGGAAGACCTGGTGCCTCAGGACTTTGTAGGCTGTGGTACTTAAGGTGATTTTCCAAGCTATTTGCTCCATCTAGGTTATAGAGGCGTTTACCTACAGACAATTGATAAGCATACTGTTGGTCACACATGACTTACCAGGGAAAAAAATCACGTCTGTTTCTGCAATTGCTTTTGATTTTGCTCTGTTTCCACTAACACAGGCAGCACATCCTTAGAGCACCATACTGGGACATCAGGGCACCGTGTAAGCACAAAGCTTACACATGCTTAAAGAGCATGTTAGCAAAGGATGACCTGGGTGGATCTTGGAGAGAGGAAGAAGAAACCATAAACATGAACATTATATTCCTTCAGAGGCACTCCAGGTGCTGAAATATCCCCCACCAACAGCAGAATGCAGTCACCAGCCTTAAGACACGTTGGAGCAGTGGAGGCAGGAGAGGGAAAAGGGATAGAAAAGAAGGGGAGGTTGGACCAGATGACTCCCTGTGGTATCTTCCAACCTTACTCAATCTGTGATTCTGTAAATGGAAGACCTGGTGCCTCAGGACTTTGTAGGCTGTGGTACTTAAGGTGATTTTCCAAGCTATTTGCTCCATCTAGGTTATAGAGGCGTTTACCTACAGACAATTGATAAGCATACTGTTGGTCACACATGACTTACCAGGGAAAAAAATCACGTCTGTTTCTGCAATTGCTTTTGATTTTGCTCTGTTTCCACTAACACAGGCAGCACATCCTTAGAGCACCATACTGGGACATCAGGGCACCGTGTAAGCACAAAGCTTACACATGCTTAAAGAGCATGTTAGCAAAGGATGACCTGGGTGGATCTTGGAGAGAGGAAGAAGAAACCATAAACATGAACATTATATTCCTTCAGAGACACTCCAGGTCCTGAAATATCCCTCACCAACAGCAGAATGCAGTCACCATCCTTAAGACACGTTGGAGCAGTGGAGACATGAGAGGGAAAAGGGGTAGAAAAGAATGTGTGTGTGTGTGTGTGTGTGTGTGTGTACAACAATTTTTAATTGGATTCTTGTTTTGGGAATCACCCTCTAAGCAGAAAAGCGAGGTACACAGAAATGCTCTGTGTTCTGAAGTGTGGCATTATTATTGTTGTTATTATTTTCTTCTAAACTGAGAACTAAGTTCCACAGGAATGTTTATTGTACTTACATATGGCTTCAGTGACTGCTTCATGACTTCACAAAAAGTCTGTGAAATGCAGGCTTCTCAGCAAAGTCACTGACTCTGGTCCTTCCAATTGCAGACCCCACAACCATCCTATTAGATAATTCTGAAACCACCCACAGCCTATCCATACAGAATTACGTCTCCATTTACAGAAAATTGAACTAGTTCTTCCTCTCTCTTGACATAGAGTTTCAGGTCATTCAGTGAATATTTATACCATCTGACTTAATATTATTAACACTATAAAATATATTACTGACACTAAGGAAATCAATATGGGGAAAATTTTTTTATGGTTACTGTTTAGCATCCAGAAATCTTGTGTTTCATGTCTCATCCTTAACAATTCATGAATGCATTCAGTTCCTAAAAGAGTCCCAATAGGCACAAAAAGTCCTATTGATTTCTGTTGCATTTGGGGGGTCTGGAGCCAAGGTTTTAGTACAAGACTGCTCATGAGTTGTTGTCTGGAAACAGCATAAGTGGTTTAAAGTCTACCAGCACTTAAAGGCCATATGGGAATATTTGTACTGCAGCTTTACCTACTACTTTATTAGGTAAAAGGAAAACTTCAATGTCCAAGGGTATTGAGCTGGCTCAAGATGATGCAGGGGCAAACCCCCCTTGCATAGTGACTAGAAATACTCATGCAATTTTCAGGAATGAAAGTTGTGATTTGGCATTCGCCTTCTGAGCAAACCTTTCAGGCAATTTCAACCAAGAAGCCGCTGATATTATAGCCCAGGTATTAATTAGTCTGGAACATGTAGAACATTGAATGCCCACGCTGTGACTGCATTTTTGAGGTTTTTGATACCCAAACCCTTGGAAGTTAAAAACCAGATTTGAAATCCAGTCTAGTACTGCACATGTTTTGTACACAGTCACCCTTGCCTCATAGGTGTCAGGGAGATACATCTGATTAGAGATGCATAGGTGTCAGGGAGACACATCAGATTCATCTGAGAAGTGAAACTGGTTGCTGCAAGTATTAGAGAGCAGTAATTGAAAAACAAGGGCACCATCTTAATATCTGGGGTTTGTAGATCTTAGGATCTAGCTTGCACTGTGTGTGAGATGAACAGAAAGTAATGCAATCTGACTAGACTGCAAAAGTTTATCTTGTCTTCCCTCCTTCTTTTATCTAATTATTTCATGGCCCTTATTTGTAAGTATTGATTCTTTAGTAAATGTTAATATGGGATTCTCTTCCAAGAAAAAGGTCAGAGTATTTAACCATGTACTTTAATGGTCACATAACAGGGTTAAGTGGGACAGTGATGCATCTTAAATCTACCAAAGGGAAAAATGCCATCAGAGCTAGAGGATG